GGTGGTAGCTGTAATGACGCCAGTGGTAGCATGGTGATCGGGTGGTGGCTTATGCTCCAAAGAATAAATCACAGAACTACATTCAAGGGATATCTAAAAAACCAAATTTGATGTGAGATCACATGGATTATGCATATGGAGTGATATGTAGTTTTTAAAGCTAAAAGTGACAAAAATTATTCTTGACCAATACATTCAGTAAAAGTCTTATTCATGGTTGCTGGTCATGGCGAATATTAACCAGGATAAAACTAAACGAAACTTCAAGGTGAAAAATTGTATCCATAAGAAGCCAAGTGTAAGAAAAAAAGTAGCAAACAAAGTCTAAGAACAGAGCAGAAAAGTGTATTTGAGAGAGGGGGGCAGAGGAAATAAACATAATATATGTATGCACACACATAATCATAATATACGTACGCAGACACCAAAGGACATACCCGGGCAACATTAACAACGATGCTGAAATTGTCAACGATACTTCCAATATCATTGTCAACTCTCTGCTGCAATGATTTCTGCTTCTGAGCAGCAGCAGCAGCCGCCGCAGCTGTGGGACCACCTGCCCCGCTTGTGCCTCCACCTGCCCCGCCCTTATTCATTGTTAAAATTCAAGTTTCTGCTTGTCACACCATTGGAACAGAAAAAAACCAGTCAATACTCAATACATGAGTGGTAGGCCAACCAGAGCTAAAGAAACTTCCAATGGTCGCAAACTAAGTTGCTATATCAAATATAAAATTAAATTTTACAATTGAATCACAATGATTACAAATATTCATTCAAAATTGAAATTGTTTGACTTGGCTTTGATAAAATACTTAAAAGTTGCCCTTATCTAAAATAGTGAGAACCAGAAGTACTAGAATCATTGGTTATATTAGTACTTGTGATGATCTTATCAACTTTCTGAAACCAAACAAAACCTCAAATTAGTACAAAGCCATAAATGGAACGCACTTTAAAATTCAAATAAAACTGACCTGTTTGAACTAAATGTGTATTACATGATTTAAACAAGAAGAAACCAATGCCCCAAACTAATACTGAAACACAACAGAAAACATAAAGCAGTGACCCCTGGGATTGCATGGCATCCTTCCACATGATCCTATCTAAGGTCAACTCCTTTTTAACCTTTCAAACTTTTCTTTTGCTTCAATCAGAATTAAACAAATCCAAAAATCAAAGAAAAAGTAATATTAGTTCCATAAATTCATAGTGGTTGGTGAGGAAAGCAAACACGTTAGGCATACAAGTAACCCACATACATGTGATATTTTACCATTTCAAAAAGCCTTATGTTATTGAGTCAACAGGACAGTCGTTCCATTTCTTCAACATATACAAAAAGGTCAATTCCTGAGATGGGTGCTATGCAAGTTTAAAAAAAATGGTGTATCATTCTCCTTGTGCAACATCTAGGCTCAATATTTTGATTCATATTTAATTATTAATTGTAGCACGAACTTCTCCAGTAGAGGCAAATATATTTTTATTTGCAAGAAATTTTTTATCTTTCATCTCAGCTTCAGTTGCTTTTGACACTATTCTTCATGAACTAAAAATTAGAAGTTCCAAAATGGGTGATGTCTATAGTTCTCTTCATGAGCTATATTCAGATAATTCTGTTGTATTATATCCCTATAAATGAGATTCGGATGTGAATTGCATTGTATGCCTAGAATGATGAAAATGAGTAACAACTAACAAAGGTATCTTCTCTTTGGTGACAGCTAATGTGAATAAATGCTACCATTATGTTTAAACGGGCTACTTCGACGTGTTGCAAACAGGGGTGATTTCAGCAAGTAAAAATGGGTCCTTGATGTGTGGATCAATGGTGGTTAAAGAAACGCAAAGAAGTGAAGGAAACCCAATTGAGATGAAAAGAGAGGAATCTAAAGTGCATCCAATGGAGTTCTAATAGCAGCAAAAGAGAGGGAATACACAGTTGAAGGAGAGACAAATACAGAGAACAAATTTCTCGTGTAGTTCAAAGCTTCTGCTGGTATGATTCACGAATCATGAAGAGCATCAATCACATCCCTAAAACAGATAGACAAATGATCTGCGCGTGCAATTCTCTCGAAGAACACGTGATACTTGTAATAGGAACAGGATCTGATCGAAGTTCCTGTGGACGCAATACTTGAATAAGATCAGCTCCAAATATATACACAAGTCTCTGTTGGTTGATGATGTGCAATATTGAACATAAAGTGTTAGCCTAACAGCACGGTCATGWTGAAGAAATAGCAGGAAATTGCATGGCCATGTACTGATGTACAATCACAGTAAGGTTTATAGCGAGTTCGTTATACACCACAGAAGGGCAGAAGTGTAATTTGCAGAACATATGCACATATGGGCTTTTACACAGATCGGGAGTGAAAACACACACAGACAGAGAGTGGATACACAGGGAGGATTTGAGTATTGTACAGACCTGGAGTATACAGGAACAAAGGTACACAAGAAATTGAGGTCCACACTCTCTGAACTTTTTTGGGGATTATTCACAACGAATGCACACCAGGGGTGCTAAAAATTCTGCACCTATATACCGATATACAGTGATGACACCATTTTACAGATCTATACACAGGTTCAGTTTGTATAGATGTGAGATAAAGAGTGATATACTACATCATAAATACTCCGGACTGCATAGTAATTTTTTGGGGGGCTTATACACAAACACGACTACACAATAGATAGAAGATATTAGCTGGTGCAGCAATGTGAATGGTTTAACAAGTGGTAGACATGAAGAAACTTTTTTCTCTGTATTGGAGCTGAATTGAACCAAATGGAGAAACAAAATCATGTCTACATTCTTCAGCACAATTGACACAGGAAGATCCACTTTTAAGTTTTACAATTTCTAATTTTGTAAATTTTGTTTTTCAAAGGTGGAGATTGAAAAACTGATTCCTATTTTCTCTGCTTCCTTATTAATGATCGAGTAGATTTCCATTATTCCATAGGGATTTAATTGATGTAGGTGAAATGGATGAAGTGATTGTGTCTATTGATTGAAATTGATATTATGATGGTCACTTAGTTCGTTCACGCATTGTGCTTACAATTAGTTAATAGAATGACAACCCAGCGCTATCCGATTACCGGTTGAACCCAGCCTTCCAAGACCGCTGTTTATTTCATTTGTCTCGTCTAATAAGGAATCACAAGATACGGAGTGAAGCAAACCACAATCATCATCCACGAAGATCTAGCTTAAATAAAGAGACAACGCTTTCTTCCAAGAAAAACAACAACACAAAAAAGAGTAATTTTTTTGCTAGGGTTGGAGTTGCTCTTACTATAGCTACATTCTACCTAAATCAACATAAAAATTCAGGTTTATTAAATGTATCAACTCTTCCACAAAACTCAGACCTCAAATCCAACAAATCAAATTCAAAATTTCACAAATAACGGATAGATTAGAAATCTCCACATCGATTATATACTAATATGAATGAAGAAGATAAGCACCTGAATGAAGGTACGGGGGTTCGGCCCCCTCCTCTCTCTATATCTCTATAGCGTTGCAGGCAGAGAGGGTCGTTGTTTATTGTTTAAGCTTTTTAGGTTTTCCACTTGAGTAAAGGGAGAAGGAGAAGAAGGAATGGAAACAAAACACATAAAGGGGTGTTTGTGATTGCTAATTCGAAACTAACTTATACAAAGTTGAGGTTAATTTCTTAAAAAAAAAAAATTATTATAGGTTTGACACATATATAAATTACTAGAAGCGTACTCGCACAATGCATCAAGATACATCATGATTTTAATATTTCATTTTATTTTTTATCTCAGTCGATGTTATAAT